CAGCGCCCGGCCCCACAGCCAAGTGGGTGCTGCTGTGGGTCTCCGGGGCAAAAAGCCGGCTTGGGGATGGGGGTCCCGGCCCCGCTCCTAACCCCGCTTTCCCTTTCAGATCCCCCCCAACCTGCCTTGCTCCGTCACACTGCAGCCGGGCCCGGAGGACACGGGGAAGGTAAGGTCCACCCGTCCTTGTGCCACCGGGTATGGTGACCGGCCGTGGGTTGGGGTCACCTCCTGGGGGGGTGCAAAGGGGTTTCTCTGCCCCCTCCTGGTTTCCAGGCCTGCGGAGTGGACTACGAGGTCAAAGCTTTCTGTGCGGAGAACCTGGAGGAGAAAATCCACAAGAGGTGAGCGGAGAGGATCCACCCAGCCTGGGTGGGAGCAGCATCCTTGGGGTGCTGGCAGGGGCTGCGACCCAGCGGTGGGAAAGGGGCACCCCAGTTTGCTACCCACAGTGGGTGAGATGGGGATAGGATGGAGATGTCCTCCAAGATGGGGATGGGATGGAGATGCTCTCCAGGATGGGGATGGGATGGAGGTGTCCTCCAAGATGGAATGGGATGGAGATGTCCTCTAAGATGGGGTTGGGATGGAGATGTCCTCCAGGATGGGGCTGGAATGGAGGTGTCCTCCAGGATGGGTCTGGGTTGGAGATGTCCTCCATGATGGGGCTGGGACATGTTTGCTAGAGATGTTTGCTAAGCTGGGGCTGTAGTTGGGATGATGGTGTTCACCAGGATGGGGATGGGATGGAGATGTCCTCCATCATGGGGGTGGGATGGAGATGTCCTCCATGATGGGCCTGGGACATGTTTGATAGAGATGTTTGCTAAGCTGGGGCTGGAGTTGGGATGATGGTGTTCACCAGGATGGAGCTGGGACAGAGATGTTCTCCAGGCTGGGCCTGGGATGGAGATGTCCTCTAGGTTGGGACTGGGATGGAGATGTCCTTCAGGCTGGGGCTGGGATGGAGATGTCCTTCAGGCTGGGGCTGGGATGGAGATGCTCTCCAGGACAGAGGTGTTCCCCAGGACGGAGCTGGGATGAAGATGCTTTCTAGGGTAGGGGTGGGCAAGAGATGATGTAGGGGTTGGGATGGAGACATCTACCGCTGTGCTGCAGGCAAGGAGCCCAGCCCTGCCATGATGTGGGGCCACGCAGGCAGCCTGGCATGGCTGTGGGGGCGCCCCCTCGCGGCTTGGGGGCTGCCCCCTCGCAGCCCAGGCGAGCTGGGCATCCAGCCGGGACCTTCCACACCATCCTTCTCCTGACCTAGCAGACCAGAAGAAAAGAGGGATTTGACCCCAAAACGGGCCAAGAAAGGGGACAGCCTGTGGGCAGAGCTGCCTGCAGGCAGCCGGACGCCTGGGTTCTCCTCTCACCGTCTCCCCCCAGGAATTCGGTGCGCTTGGTGATCCGTAAGGTCCAGTATGCGCCGGAGCGACCCGGCCCCCAGCCCATGGCAGAGACCACCCGGCAGTTCCTCATGTCCGACAAACCGCTGCACCTCGAGGCATCCCTGGACAAGGAGGTGGGTGAGGACTGGGGAGGGAACACCGGCGGGATGACCCTGGCGAGGACGGGGACCTCACCACCCCCCCTCTCCTTTGCTCCCTGCAGATCTATTACCACGGAGAGCCCATCAGCGTCAACGTCCACGTCACCAACAACACCAACAAGACGGTGAAGAAGATCAAAATCTCAGGTGAGGAGCAGGGCTCGGTCCCCCGCAGCTGCCGTCCCCGTCCCCACGGGGGCCATCCCCGACCCCCGTCTCTCCATCTCTCACCCCAGTGCGCCAGTACGCCGACATCTGCCTCTTCAACACTGCCCAGTACAAGTGCCCGGTGGCCGTGGAGGACGCTGAGTGAGTACCGGCTGCTCGGGGACATCGCCAGGGGCCCCGGGGACCTCGGAGGAGCCTTGGAGGACTCCTGCCACAATGCAGCACCTTCAAAGCTGTGGGATGTTGCATTCAGCGAGCAGGTCCTGGTGGGAGGAGCGGGGAGATGGATGCCCTTTTTTTGATGGCACCCTAGGGGATGTCACCCTGTGTGCCCCCCTGGCCGGAGATGAACTCCAGGCTGGGGCAGGGACAGAGATGTCTGCTGCGTTGGCTTTGGAGTTGGGATGGAGATGTTCACCAGGCTGGGCCTGGGATGGAGATGTCTTGGTTGGGTCTGGAGTTGGGATGGAGATGTCCCCCAGGCTGGGCCTGGGATGGAGATGTGTGGGCTGGTTCTGGAGCTGGAATGGAGTTGTCCTCCAGGCTGAGCCTGAGATGGAGATGTGTGGGCTGGGTCTGGAGTTGGGATGGAGATGTCCTCCAGGCTGAGCCTGGGATGGAGATGTGTGGGCTGGGTCTGGAGTTGGGATGGAGATGTCCTCCAGGCTGAGCCTGGGATGGAGATGTGTGGGTTGGGTCTGGAGTTGGGATGGAGATGTGTGGTGGGTCTGGAGTTGGGATGGAGATGTTCTCCAGGCTGGGCCTGGGATGGAGAGGTGTGGTGGGTCTGGAGTTGGGATGGAGATGTGTGGTGGGTCTGGAGTTGGGATGGAGATGTGTGGTGGGTCTGGAGTTGGGATGGAGATGTGTGGTGGGTCTGGAGTTGGGATGGAGATGTGTGGTGGGTCTGGAGTTGGGATGGAGATGTGTGGTGGGTCTGGAGTTGGGATGGAGATGTGTGGTGGGTCTGGAGTTGGGATGGAGATGTGTGGTGGGTCTGGAGTTGGGATGGAGATGTGTGGTGGGTCTGGAGTTGGGATGGAGATGTGTGGTGGGTCTGGAGTTGGGATGGAGATGTGTGGTGGGTCTGGAGTTGGGATGGAGATGTTCTCCAGGCTGGGCCTGGGATGGAGATGTGTGGGCTGGGTCTGGAGTTGGGATGGAGGTGTTCACCAGGCTGGGCCTCGGACAGAGATGTTCCCCAGGCTGGGGCTGAGATGGAGATGTCCATGGTGGCCCGTGGGGTTGTGGGAGACGTGGGGGAAGCTGCAAGGGTGCCACAGGGCTCTGGCTGATGGTGGCTGTTGTCCCCAGCGACATGGTGGCCCCGAGCTCGACGTTCTGCAAAGTCTACACCCTGACCCCCTTCCTCGCCAACAACCGGGAGAAGCGGGGGCTGGCACTGGACGGCAAGCTCAAGCACGAGGACACCAACCTGGCCTCCAGCACGCTGTGAGCCCCCCCCCCC